ACCAAAGCTGTGTGCAAGGTCACCTCTAACCATTGCGCCACATTTTCTTCGACACATACGCGACTCTACAAGTAAGCAATTATTATCTACTACTTTATTCTTTTCTTGAAATTTCAACTATGACTACTTTAATCTGATGTTTCATATTTGGTAAAACTAATTGAAAATTGCTATAAATCCACTTCATCGTGAAATGAATGCTCTCTAAAGTTTATTCTTTAGATAAAAGGTAGCACGGAGCGTTTTACATCACCTTTTCATGCAAAGCTTTTGAGTAATTTGTTCAGATACATTCGATGTAAACGAAAAAGCAAAACAATGGACATTTGCTTCTGCAATGAATCTAAGAAAAACGATGTGAACTGCAAACACAAGGATGCTAAGATATGAGCAAAACTGTGGAACCGGACGTCGAACCATCGAGTACCTTTTTCTAGAGCTCACGTGTTACCTACTTCATCACTGAGACCCTTCCTTGGCCTTTCTCTCAGCCAGTTTTTTACCCCGACAGTAATATCAGCAATGATCTGTCAACACGATTGACCTAGGAGCACAAATCGGCAATGAAACCAGTTTAGATGGGGTTGTGATCGAAATCACAGTGTTTATAAAAAAGAAAAAGGCGGTAAATAAAAGTGAAAATATTGCGTTTTCAACAGAAAACCCTTTATCGAGAAGTGAACGAACCATGCTGAACAAAAAGTTCTTAAACATAAGCGACCATCTAACCTTGCTATGTAGGCCTTTTTTCCTCAGTAAGGTGCATCGCGTTGTTCGGGACAAAATTGATGAGTTGACGTTTTTTAGGCGTCTTTGGTGTAATCAACTGCAAACGGCGAACGCATGATGTCCTCTTGTGGATGCTCGAGGGCATCCGACGTTGTGAGCGACGACGAAATTCCATCTATTCCATGATTACAGGATCTTTTTATAAAATTCCACGAAAAACATTTATTCAGCATGAATAAATGTAGAAGCAAACAACAGTGAAGTAGCGAATACTTGTACACACTCGGTCGTACATGATCGCGCCCAATTTTGTGTTACAGCTTCTGAGAGTGCGCCCAAATTTTCGCGACACTTCCGAAAAAGTTCTCGTCCAAAAAGGAAATTTTTGATAATTTATTGCGTCCAGAAAATCCATAAGCAACGTCTGACATAAAATCTCTATTGGATAAACTATCGATCGAATGCAAAAGGTATAGCACACAAACTTCTCGTTGCAACACAAACGGTCGGCGAGCACATGCATGGGGACAAATGCATGCGTCTAAGTATAATCATGGGCGTCTCTTATCACGGGCTAAAAGAGGAAAACCAAAAGAATGGAAGAAAATCTCTGACGAATTTTTCTAGAAAGCTCGCGGAATGGTAAACATCTCTTCGGACTACAGTAGTGTATGGACCACCTTTAGTGAAAATACCTAAAAGCACCTTGGCACGACTATCTCTGGATTCTAGGGAATTCATTAACGAACTCGACCACATTTATAGACGCCGGTTTCAAAACAACAGAAGGAACCCAAGAAATGCAAGGAACAGTGTATAAACGTGAGGACCGGTGGTGTAATCTGGAACCACTGTGCATCTGAGTAAGAGAACATTATCTCTCATTCAATTCTGGCAGCATCAAGCAAATTTTATCGCATACTGATATAATGATAAGGCACAAACATCAAACACTGCGTAGTTGATTGCGTTAACTGAAAAGTTTTGAACAGGAATGCTGGTCGGCAAAGAAGCTGAAAAGAAAGAGGTACTATTCTGGTCAGATTTTCTAACACAGCACACGTTTTGTTATAGACAAATGAGTTTCTACGATATACAACGATTCCTAGGATCGAGTAATTAAAGTGAGAAAGGAAGAACACTTAAAGGCACTATAGGATATTATGCCTATTACATAAACTGGACCCCGAAGTTCGTCTTGTCATTTCCAAGCAGATCTAATCTTATATTGTGTTTTTAGACTTTGTAAGAACGTAACATTTGTGCTGAAATAGAAGAAGATTCAATAGAAGTTAGCATGAGCATGTCTCTGAGGGATGCTTGGGATTGGGCTTGAATAGAGAGGAAATGATTGCATAGAGACTGTAATTGCTGACCACGGTTGACACTTGTGAGTTATTCTGTTTCGGATTGGGTCACAGTTAGTGAACTGTTAGTTGTATCGCGAGTAGCACTACAGAAAAAGTGAGAAACTTGTCTTTTACAGGCAGATATTTATGTGAACTTTGTTCGCATGCCTTATTTCTTTATCATCTTCCTGTCTTTCTTCTTTACTCTTTCCTTCATCCTGTTTTATTTCTTCTCCCGTCTTTCTTGTTATAAATTTATAGATCTTTTACCCATAAAGGATTGTAATATAGAAAAGTATATCAAGTACCAGTATTAAGGAGTAGAAAAGTGCGCAATAAAATTAATGATCAAAAGAGCACTTACAAGAGCAAATGTTAGCAAGACAATACGGAAATGAGCGAGTGAGCAAGAGAATTCATACATTATAGGAGCTAGTACTAGTAGAACAGTAATAATCAACAAGAGTAGTCAGCGTGGCAGAGAATATAATTGACCAATCCGTTGTGAAATCGATTTTCCGAGTTCGTCAAAGAGAGACTTCAAGCCTGATGGACATCGTCATTCTGACGACAATTTCTGGAGGGCCGAATGAAAAACGGCCCTCAGAATTCTTGATGAATGAAGAAAAATCAGGGTTTTGGAGAGCGGACACAAAAAATTTGAGCGCTGACAATTGGCTTATGGTAAATTGCCTGACCAGACGTCACGAGGGTGCGAAGTCACCATGGTAATGTATGAATGCGCGAATAGTAAGCAAATCGAATGACCTTGATTCTTATCTCATCTTCTATCGTTGACGACTGTCACTGGATACCAAATAATACGTACAGTACATACAATTGAGATATCTCGCAGCACTCTTAGAGTGCTCTCATTACTTAGTTAGAGAATCTAAATGTTGTTTTACACTGTTAATGAAGCATAGCACAACATGATGATGATGACTCACAGGTAAGTCACGATGCCAAGTTCGAATGCAAGTCATACCAACGATGGCGTTCTTTATACCACTCGCCAAAGGAAATTGACAATGGAGACTTGTTTTGCACTATTTCTACCGTAGTGTGTGAAGCCTGAGAACGTGGTAATCGTTGGCTAACTCGTTAGGAGTTTACAGCGAAGGCTATGTAAGCTTCTGCAAACAGTGAATTTGTTTTTGGACTCTCCTTACGTGACCTATGTCCAGTTGTAATTGTATTTGTTTAATAAGTTGTGACTATTCCGTTCTCGCTTACGTATATAAATGAAGTGATTTGAAATATGAATGCGACCAACACGCGTGCAAATCGATGTTACTTTGCGCTCTTCGATTACTATCTGATAAGCTTAAGCTCCGATGCCATACTAAAGTGAAAGTTCTTTGTCTTAATTCGACAAAAAATGATCAAAATGCAAAATAATTGACTTCAGTGAAGGGATTCTATTAACAGCAAAGTTTTATACACAAAATGAAAACCGTTGTAATCTACACATCTTTATCAATGAGGTACGAGCATGCCTGCTCCATCAATATAGATTTCTAGCCTTCTAGAATCCATGAGTTTTCACTGGGAATATTTTTTGTAGGCACTACATTGTTGAAGTTTGTAATCAAGATAATGATGTTAACGTGCTTAAAGTAAGCTTTGCCGACATTGTTCTACGAATGTGCTAAGTAGGACTGCGCTTCGTGTGCCAGTTTTCCTAGCTTTTACAGTATTCGTTGTGTAATATCTGATAAGATGCTGTCCTAAAGTAGAACTCGTCTACCTCAACTGAGTAACTTGATCGAAGACACTGGGGGTTCTAGTGCGTTTCGTCGATTTACCTGACCATCTTCGATTCACTATCAAATATTTTGTACAATTCATACAATTCTGTTCAGTGAACATTTGGTTTCCAATATTCCACAAACCATGAAGGGCGATTCCATCTCATCTAATGCAAAAGGGTCGATACAAAACAATCACTAAGCATTTTCCTAATTAAACTCTGGTGTCGATTATGTTAGGAAGCGCCTCTCTGCCAAGAGTGTTTTCCATCGTTTCACGTAATGTCGTTGGACGCCGCATAGAATTCATCTTTTTCGACGTTTTTGACGCTTCATAGCGCTATCTAGAACCGGGACGTTTGGAATCTCTAAGCAATCTTCACAATGACGGCGCTGTTTTTGCTCTGTGTTTCATTCATGCGATACTTTTTTCGCGGGTTTTTTTTAAAACTATCCACCTTGGCAAAGGTGTTGTTTTGCCTACAGTTAGCTATTTCACTAGTGGATGGGTGTGTCCCAGTAGAATTGTTTTATGTCATGTCTTTTCTTTCATCCTCATCATCCAGGCTCTTCCCTTCATGACGAATGTTTTGAAGACACACAAATTACCCTGTAAATAGCTTGGAGGTCCTTCTTTGCTTTATAATTTGTAGCAATTTCATCGAAAGTTAAGAAGGAGGCAACGCAGTAATTAGCGACTCAGTTCAGCATAAAGCAAGGTTGTGACTGTTTCAACCGCTCACCAATGGCCTGCTTCAGTCTAAGTGGGAACGGCTTAACCCTGATGTATATAAGACTGTAAAGAGAACTGACTCGACGAGCATTCTGTGACATTCATAAAAAAGTCGAAATCCTCAAGCAGCTGCCGACACAATCGCAAAATGTTCGAAAACCTTGGGTGATGAATGCGAGAACGAATCGTATACCAGAAGTACTGGGATCCACACATATGATGTCATGCAAATCAAATAAAAGCAAACGAAATGATTCCACCATTTTAACGCCATGCAATTGATTTCTAGAAGCGACTTTGATTGCAGTGCTACATAGGATACCTATTAAAAGGAAAAGGCAGTAAATAAAAGGGTTAAAAATGTTAATAGTATTAATAATAGTAATATTGTCAAGGCAACACATTCGTATTCTGCCATATTAACTCAGTATCGGATTGTTAATACTGAAATGCTTGATTTTCGTAGGCGCTCAGCCTCGTCTCTTTCTCATATTCGTTGGCTAGACGTCTTTCCATCAGGTTGAGACCTAAAACGGAAATTTCAGATCTTGGCGAAGTAAAAGGGCATGGCACTTAAACTATGAAGACCATCAGTATTTGGTGTTTTCATCTTCTTGGCATGTTAACGATAGTGCTCGTTCCTTATAAATGATGATACCTTTGCAATAACTAAGTATTTGAGGCTATTCGCTCTCTGATATCTTGATTTTGCCTTAATTAAATCCAAAATTTAACTAGAACATTCTTTTATTTTTTATATGACCCGTTTTCACATCTACTGTGCGGATTGTAGCATTTCTCACATTCGATTCGTCTCATCCCAAACAAGTCCATGAAGGGCTCGCAACTTTTACGTGTGACTTAGGCTGCTGCTGTTTGAGGATTTTCAGCTTGAATGTCGTGGAATGATGATCGGCTCGATTCTCACTGGAGTCCTGAGGTAGTCAGGCTAAAGCATTCCAGTTGGAGTGATTTTCTGATTGGAGTAACTGGATCCCATTTGAAGCGCAGAGTGGTTTTTTCCCAGACAGATTCCGCACCATTTTTTCGACCACTTAAGGAGGACAGGTTTGGAGGTCTGGTGAGCCTGAATTGGGATCGAACCAGCACCGCGTGCTATCTCCCCTAGACTAGAGAATTTGGTGGAGTAATTAAATATTTGTCACGTAAGCGCGAAAATGACCGCTTTTTCCTCTGTCGACGATACCATGGCCTCGGTTTGGAAGAAATTCCAATTGACCAATCGCTGAGAAATAACAGCGCTGCCGAAAAGAAGCGATAAAAAACTGCGGTAAGAAAAGGTCTCCAAAAGAGGAGGAGCAAGGCGTATTACGTAAACGGATGTCACCTTCGAAAAGTTTAGCTCTCTTACAATTTTAAATCAATAGCAGGATTTGGATAGTTTACGGTAGTTAATCTGGTAGTGACGCTGCCACGACGAATTTTCACAACCGCCCACGTTGAGCAAAACGTTGGGAACTCGATAAAAAATCAAACTAACCAATTCCACCATATATGAACGTGGCAAGCGCCAAGAGAACAGTCATTCCTCCTCCTCCAGCAAGGATCGCTTGATGGGTGGCTCGTTCTTCATTACTGTAGTAGGATGTCGTGTTTTTAACGTACTGCCATTTGAAAGTATCTCTAAAACATCAACATTTAAATCACATGCAAACGTCAATTTCATTAAAATGCTTTGTGCATTATTACGTCATCTTCCGAAAGTCGTTGAAGTTGATTACGGCGAATACCATACAAGTAACGGCAGCACAGAATGCGACCATCATAACAAAATGATATAGATAGCTCTGTAATTCTATTTCTTAGCAAAAAAAATCCGGTCAACTTTGGTCATTTTTTGAGGCTTCCGCCATCCGTTCGATTCGACTTCATCACACATCGTAAAGAGAATTTAATGCGTTTCTTGCCTGAATAAGATCTCCAAAATAGTTAAGATCATCATTAAATGCGTAAAATATGCTAGAAGTTTCCGACAGAAATAAACAATGAAAAGTTATTGAAAGTTTTATGCCAAATACAACCTTAATCATGTCAAGATTTGAGCAAAACGTGAAGCCTCATTTGAACCTCGAATCCGAGATTACGTTTTGAAGAGCTCACTCGCTATTCATCGCATCAACCGAGGCCTCTGCTCTGGTTTTCTATCAGCCAGTTTTTTACCCTAACGGTGCCATCAGCAATCAACCGTCAAGGAGAACGATATGAACAGCACAAATCGTTGTTTGCATCTAGTTAAGTTAAAGCTGGACCCGTGTAGCGCAGTAGTTAAAAGCGTCTTTGAAATACATATGGGTTGGATCCCGGGCCCTAAGCTCACCAAAGCCTTCGAAAACTCCGAGGTCGGCAAATTGTCACCAGCGTTAGTCATGACATTGGTTACTGGAACCTTTCTAGGATGATAGCAGTACTAACTCGATACATCGGTAGGTCACTACGAGTCAGGTAAAGGTTAGATATGCATCAAAACACCTCTAACGATGCTTAATGAAATCGAAAGCATGACGCATCCCTTAAGGATTGACCAACGTTGAGAGCCTTATCCTTTTTTTTAGGTTTATGCTGCAGTCAAACTCACATTGTCATTATTTTACTTGCCGCCTATTCTTTTTCATGGCATGGTATTATTTAAAATGCAACAGCGAGAATGCTGAGATATGGGCGAAACTCGAAGCCTCAGGTAATCGAGGTAGACGTGGGTTCAGAGCTCAACTGAAATCCCGAGTTTACTCATATTTCAAGTCCTTGTGATTTCATTTCACGTGGTATCCTGCCGTGGAAAAAAAACGAGAAACAAGCAAAAATTAAAACAAATAGAGAGTATTTTTTAAGCTTACCATGATTCTCGCCTTCTTATATGAGTAATGATGATTGGTGTGAAGGATGATTTGTGACACCAGAACAATGGCAGCTGTGGTCAGTGCGGAGTAGAAAGCGCACTGTAAAGTGAGGAATCGGTAACATCTCAGAATTCGAGCGCCAATGAATAATATGGAAGAATGGTTTGTTCACTTTTTCTGTGGTGCTTTCTGGCGTCTCCTTTCCGTGACCTTCGACATTCCACAGAGTAACCATTGTCATGACTAACGCTGGATACTTCGCAAGGAGGAAAACAATTCGCTGATAGCCGAGATGTGGATTCGAGCACAGAGCTCGAGCCTTCATCGTGTGCTGACTGAATAGCGTAAGTCAAATATCAAACTCTTAAAAGATAGCTTTTAGAAAAACTATTTCAACTATTCTTTTAATAGGCATTTCTCCTCTTCTTTTCAGATTTTTAGTCAGTTTAATATTTTCCAGGATCGACTTTCTCTTAACCTCGGCATTGGAATACGAATGTGTCGTTTTCTTGTTCAGCAATCGCGAAGTTTTTAAACAGCATACATTTACTTCCATAGAAAAACACTCTCTACACTTACTTTCTTCCCAGCCTTCACACACAAAGAGGGCGATTGTGAGAAACATGTTTCGAACAGCCACCTCTGTGTGCACTACCAGGGAACTAAAGGAAGAATCGCGCGACTTGGCTCGGCAAATAGCCATCTCCAATGGCTACGAAATAGTAACCCCACGAGATAAGTTTACAAGGAGAACGACGCGCCCATGCAAAATACTTGGCCAAAAGAAAGCTCCGTTTATGTTGCCTTTTATAAGCGATGAAGTAAGCGTAGCTATAAAACGATGATTAAGAAGGGCAAGTCTACAGGAATCGGTAGCGATAGTTGAAATACCACCGGCTACTCTACGTCGCCAATTAGTTCGCAACCGCCTGTATGGACCGTCTGTGTGAAACANGCGGAGATGAATATATTGGCGAAACGGGCAGACCTTTGTGTATCCGAATAAAAAAACACCTAGATGGCAAACGAAAACTAAGACGAAGCACCCCACTAGGCACGCATAGGATACAAAAGCATAGCGGAGACGATTTTGAAGTAAAAGTCAATATCCTTGCACAGGAGTCCAAAACACCAGCGCGAAAACTCCTTGAGGCTT